TGCCACGAAATATTTGAGGAGGGTGAATGTGCCGTGGAGGAAAAACTGGAAAATAAGAAAATGCACGGTGCAGAACGTTTTTCTATCGAAGAGGAAAGCTGAAAGAGCGAATTATTGTACAACTGAAAGTTCATTTTTGTTGTGCATTGTGGGCTGTTGTACTACTCGATCGCCCGATCCAGATCTGTCTTGTTTGAAGATTCACTCTAGCCTGTTAGCAACCAAGCGGGAGCTACAAGGCAGCACCATTGTTCCCGGTGACCGGTCGGTTGGTTCATTCGTGTTATCTGGAAAACCTTTTTGGGTAGGTGAAATCCAACCGGAGGTCAATAGCCGTAATCAGTGGCGGTTACACGTCACGTCATAGCACTGTTATAAGATATATGTGATGTTCTATGTGGAGAACACTTGCCACCACATCCTCGAGCACTGTGGCTGAACGTCCGCGACCGCTTATTCAGTGAGAATAAACCCACCTTATTCACAGTTAAACACCAGTTAGCGGCCGTTCACCTATCCGCCACCTGATTACGCGCTCTGTAGCATATCGCTCAGCCCTGACTCTTGAGAGATCTGATATCTTTGGCGAACTTCGGATTCTGTCTCACAAGCAAAGTTTGTTGCTTAGTGCATCGCAAATCCCATTGGATTCCATAACGTGCGCAGATAGATCGATCGGGCAGCCGATGATGAGCTATCTGAAGGGGCGATTTCTGCCGATGAGTCGAAGAGTGAAGCGTAGCGGAACTGGTGCATGATCCAACCGAACGCAGGTGGTCTAGTAGGATCTTTAATTTCCTTCTGAACCACGCCAACAGTGGCTTACAGCTGTGTGGTCAATTGGGGTCAACTTGTGCTCCTTTTCGTTCATTCACTCTGTAGCCATTCGGAATAGCGTACGGTGCGTAACAGTGCTGAATACAAGGAAATTATCCAATCTAAATCGTGAGTGGATTGCTTATTCCAAAGGTGATCCTGATATCGTACTCTGCGATCTGTGGCAACGATCAGTGAAGTTCGCTTCACTGTATTTCGCTGTACGATGATGAATTTTTGGACACAAGAAAATTTTCCCTTACAGTCCATCTTTGGTGATCTAAAGTATAAGAATGATGGACGATCGAAGCACGGTGAGACATTCGCGCCCACTCGCGCAAGAAACTGGACTGTCGTTAGCTCGCATCTCAAGTCCTGGGATCTGATCTGATCTGATACGTAGTGAAAGCACGCGAGTAGCCTTTTTAAATCGAGTATGACTCCTGTGCATGTCTCACTGGACCTTTAGATTGTATTTTCCCTGTCTTTCAGATTGCTTGGAAGCTCCTCCAAGGAGAGCCTTCCGTCGGGAGTGAGTCCGACCTGTTCATTGAGAGCGTCAATGAGTGACCAGGGATTGTTGGGCCTTTTGGAACGACGATAGTCGTGCAAGAGCTCGGGTTGCGTTGCCCGGAGTCAATCTCCTACCAGTGCGTTCTAAGCGGATTCAGAGCTGGGGTCGGTCGTGTGTACTTCTTCCAACGGTGTGAATCGGACATCATACCTATTTACAAGAAAGGTGACAAATCCTCTTGTGGAAACCTCAGCGGAAGTAGTTTAATCAACATTGCTTCTAAAATTCTGGTCATTAGTGCACTCCGTCGATTGTCTGCAGCACGTGAACAGTGCCCGCGTGAGAATTTGTCCGGTTTTAGATCGGGTAGAGGTTGTGTCGACCACATTTTCATCCCTGGACAAATTTTACAACAAAGACACTCCTTTCGTAGACCCATCATTTCTGTTTTCCTCTATTTGGTAGCGGTCTTCGATTCAGTCGACCGCTCTTTACTATGGCGCTGCCTCTCTTAGAATGGCGTGCCCGAGAGGTTAATTTCAACTATGCGATCTCTTTATATTAGTAGCCGAATCCGACCGTACGGTACATTTTTGCCCGAGTTCACCACAGAAAGTGGGGTATGAAGACCTTAACCAGAAGACTGGGTCACGAAGGTCGCGTTGGTTTCCCTGGCTGAGTATCCCGGAGTAATCGTAACCGGTGGTTAGAGCCACTGAGTGAAATTGCCGAGTATCGTAAACACTGGTCCTCGTGTATCTACCCATTATTCTTACAACCCCAGTTTATCTGAATTCTCTATCTTCTCTTCGACTCTGCTCTGAACACTCCAATCTTCCTTCTGCTCTTTGATCCAAATGGATAGACAACACTGAATACCGGCACACAAAAGTGCATGGTTAATAGTTGTCAAAACGGTACCGATATTGATCATTGGAATCATATGACTTTACAATGGTTTATTGCATTTCAATCTCACGGCGCTTCTGCGAATCGCATACCACCTTTTCGTCTTTCACAGAATTCTCCTATATACGGATGTTTTTTCTTTTCCAGTTTGTTTTACGTCGTTATGGGAAAACAACCAAAGAACGGCTGTAACAATCCGAAACCTTCACCAACCCAGCATACGATGAATTTTCTTTATCAACAGGCAATGCTGATAGCTCACAACGAGTGGAGTTCAGTTGATCTCACCTGTATGGCAATTCAACAAAGTCTTTGCCGAAATGCTTTGCGTCAATTAGTCACACTCGGCGAGAAGTCGCACACACGACTGGCCCCTTTGCTTCGACGTACTGTGTGTCAAAAATGTCACACTTTGCTGGCCTGTCCAAAAGGAACGAAACTGCGATTCCGATCACAGAGGATGCGTTGCTGGTGCGCATTCTGTGGTACCACACAGACGACCATTGTGGATAAAAATCGGGCTTGGAATCCGAGCTATCCAGAACTGTTTTTGGCGGCTTCTTCGGAAGAAGATTGCAGGGGCGACAAAAGTGATCAAAATTAGCAATATCGGTTTCGTGGACAACGCTGAATCGACGGGGCCGTATTCGATCAGTACAAAACTTTTGCAGACTCGAACGGTCTACGGTGTATGCCCAACATCAAAGAGATGTTGAAAATATTGAAAATTATCCAAGTTTGAATTGAAGTCAAATTGAATAACTGTTCCACATACCCCAGCGAATGCCAGAGGGGGTTAACAGATTGCAGTTCACCTACGAAGTTCAATAAAGTATGTTGATACAAGACACTAATTTTTTCTGTATGCAATATGTTGGAACTGATCATCACCACCGTCGACATTTTTTCTCTGATGGAGTTGAAAGTTCCTGAGTCCTGTGCGACAGTTTCAGGAGTTCTGGTCGCAAGGCATTGAGTTTGAGGATGGAAAACTCCTGCCATCCCGAGGTAGCAAGTGATTACAGCACAACGAGACTTTCTTCGTGATTGGTATTCTTTCGGCGAGATACTTTATATGTCAGTTGCATATAGGTAGAGTGTATTCACTGGACATGTTCTTGGTTCCGTGTCTGTTGTTTCTGCTCCGGATTGAGATAACTAACAGTGAACTTATTGGGTGACCTATTGATAGAGGTGTAGGTATAAATCGATTAATTCATAGTTGTATCTCTCGCTTTCCGACCAGGTTCTATGTGTTTCTGTAATCTGTCCGCTAGAGGTAACGATGTATATGGAAGTTGATCGTCATTGGTTGCGTGTTTGTCGTTGGTTTGTAAGGCTGCTAGTAGTGTGCACATATGGTGTATGTTGTGTTAGTTATGCAAGCACCCTGGATTACTTCGTCTCTCATCTAAACACTCCTACTTTCAACCTTAAGTGGTATTTGTAACGTGCTGAACATGAGCCGAGCAAATAGCCACGATGTTGTATCCGCGTATAATACTAGTCAGTGTTCTGTATCTGTAGTACGGCAATCTCGGTTGGTACCTTTCGACCACCTTCGTGATCGACCTATGACTTAATGAACAAATGGAGCAGATACCTACCTGAGAGAGAGCGTTATGGAAAACAAAAATGTAGAAAGTAATTGAACTATATCTAAACGGTAAATGAGCAAATGCACGGATGTTGCTGTTTCCCACGCGACCACTTTATTCACTATCTCTAACAACACCAAATTTCCAACCTGGAGATCTAACGTGACCTGCTTAGGCAAATTTTCTGGTCAGGATTTTTAACTCTCGTTCCAGATCATAGTTTGATCACTCACGGCCGCCACTGCTAAGGCCTCCACCCCCTGTCCATTTACTGGACAAAACTTTCCACAAGAGACAAATAAACCAGACCATTGGTCAAAGGCTTTTCCAGAATAATCACATTTCGATGTGCAAGGATGGATTAAAGGTCCATAATCGCATAAAAGGCCGTATTGTCCTGGATTTATCACTTTTCATCATATTCCCCGTAATTTAAGAATGGTTTATTACACGAAGCGTTTTGGGACAGAACGAGCCAACTCTGTATTCACAGAAATGAGAAAGTGTGTTGGTGAATATCCAGGTTAGGACAAATTTGGGAACTACGTAATTGGGAAGAGTGTTCCACAATTTGACAGTCCTGGGAGAAAAGAGAACTAGCATATAGAATTAGGGTACATAGGGACAGAAATCTGGTTGGGCTGATTGTCCGCCAAAGAACGAGATAGGCTAGACGGACACAGAGAAGAACCGTTGAAGCCAGATTGGAAGAATAGAAACTGAAACAATAATGATAGAGAACAGAATGGAGTATTGGAAAAGCGATTAGAAGGTTAAGCGTAGTTCATGGATCTATTGGATAGGATTGCGAAGCTCCATCTGGCACACTTGACCAAAGTATTCGAGTGTCATGCAAATTTGAGCTTCGCATGAAAGTAGACAGTTCATGGGTATTAAGAACCATCTAGCACGGAATGTTAAATTGACTTTGTGAGCGGCGCAAATGCAAGTGTTGATATAAATGAAGGTTAACGGGGAGAAGAATTTACGATAAACTCAGGAGAAAATCTACGGAACGAAGGGTGAACCTGTCAACATTTAATTAGCGAGAAAAGGGGATGGATGTCTCGAGCTGACTGATTAACCTTATCTTACACTCCGAGAAGCGCACTCATATCACCAATTGACTGAAATAGTCTTTTCTGAGGAAACCCTACTTACTGCCTTCCCGTGGCGGTGTTGTGTGAGGACGAAAATCCAACATCCGGTTCGGTCAGCCATTGACAATTCACCTAGCAGAATTGTACAAAAATCCTGATTCCAAACCAACCAAGCAGTGTACGAATCACACAGACAGCTTTCTGGTTTTGGCAGTGGTCACCGGCTCAGTTGGGCATCAAGGTGTACTGGGCAGCTTGGACATTTGACCCCACCCGATGGGCGTATGATCCGGTGAACTGGACACCAACCCCCAGTAAATTAAGGTTTTCACGCACCGCACCGCTGTATTGCGGGCTAGGCTTTGGTTAGCCGAAGGTTTCCTAAGAAAATTCATCTGCCTTGCCCTGAGCACTATCGCGCCCACGAGCAAATCATGAACTTTTTTCTTTTTATAAGGTTTGTGATTTGTTTGGCACCCAGTCTGAACTCACACGTGTGTGTGTGTGAAAAAATAACTATAAAATAATTAGTGAACATTAGTGAGTAGATAGAATAAAGTTTTCGAAGTGTTCACAAATATGGTTGGCAGAACCCCATGCGAAGCCCAACTCATGATCGGCAGCAGTTGATACATCAATGTCATTACAGTCGTGATTGACATTAGTGATGACCTGTCAGATCTTGAGGTAAGAAAGCGAACTATGTAAAGTGGAACTAAGAGAGAAACAGTCCATTAGATGGTAAGTTTTGGACAACAGATCTTTGCTAGACAAAACAAACGCAGTGGATTCGACGATGGGGAAGCTAACGGAACAATTGGTTACAGTAGATTTCTGCCGTCTTCCAGGATGAGATACAAAATACGTCGTAACTAGTTTATTGGAGACACTGGAGAACATGGCCACGAAACGATAACGGTGCCGTTTCCCTGTACGAAGGTGATGGGTGCGAGCATGCACATTTTCGGGGGAAAACCGGTATTCATGGAACAGCTAAGATGTGAATGAAGATGGCACGCTTTTTGAGGAAACATCACAAGCGCAATGTGAGACTCTGGTGGAATGCTAAGTTGGGTTGTTATCAGTAGAGATCTGCACACGAAACTCATCATCAGAGTTTAAAATTTCCAGACTCACGAAGTGAGTTTCTCCATTTTTGTCTAGTAGTAATAAATGCGAGATAGAAGATACCAGTTCGCATATGAAACGACCATCAGTCAACGAACATTGGCCTACTAGGAGCGCACGCATTTCAGGGATAATGGTTTTGAAAGTTTCCAAAATTACAGCACTGAGAGGTATAGGGGAAGCTGGTGATTATGATAGGAAAGCATTAGGGCAATTTTTGCGTCAATAGTGATTTTATGTACCCTAATGGGTGAATTTTCGGCACTTTACATCATATTCGTGGATCGAAATTTATGTGATGCACCTTCATCAATGAAGCAAACAATTGCGTAATTCTGTGGGTACCTTTTCAACAAGTACACGTGCTGGATATGGCAAAACAAGTACGCATGAAGAGGTACGTGCAAATAAAAGTTTGAACTTTGAGCGTGTGGATGATGTAGGTACAACTTTTCAAAATTCGTTGTGGGATGAGTGACTGAGAGTATTTTCGCAATATAATTTTCTCGTGCTTGTAGATGTCTGCATATGACGATGCCACTACATTTAAAGGTGTGTTTATGATGCTTCGCCAGTAAGTTTTTTTCAACATACCGGGGAACAATAAATTCAGTGAGGAAGTGCGCATGCATTCACAAACCTAACGACCAGTTTGTGGAAAACCGGAAGTATTCGCAAGCGGAGTTGGAAATATGAAAGCTCTCCAACTTTACAGAATGTACTTTGAACATTTAGTGACCATGAAGAAATTTTGTGATAGTGCGACTCCAAGGTATTTTACCATTATCGATGTCGTTACAGTTTCATGACTGGTAGAAACGGTGAGAAACCTGTGTGAGGGCTGAATATTCTACATTGACCAAAAGGAAAAACACATCCTGAAATTTGGAGGCATTCAGTGAGGGGGAACGGGACAAGTAACAACTAACAACGTCGTTTAGCTGGCTTTGAATTTCCGAAGCCTCTTGAGGAATGGATGATTTGCAACGTAAAACAACATCTGAATATTTACAACCAATGAATGTAGAAGGAATGGGAGATCGTTCGACATACATCGAAAAGAAAAATGGGAAAATGTGGCGTCTTGCAGAACATCGGAAGCAACCGGGTTAGTAGAAGATTTCTTGCAGTTGAGGCACGTGAACTGTCTTCTATTCGTGAAATAAAGGAGGATCAATCAGTCAACGTCTGAATTGACACTACTTTCGTTGATCAAGTTGAGCAGTATCGATCGATCGTAGTCTAAGAACACCATTCTCACGGTCTTACTTCTCTTATGTAGAACCAAAATTATTGAATGAACAAGGTAAGCCACATCATAAAGTGTTGAGATCGAAAAACGATATGCATACTGGTGTAAGTTGTCTTCGGCAGACTCAGTGACAATCCACGTTAGCAAGCATCTCAAATATTTTGAAGATGACTGACGTGCGGTTGATGGNTTTTTTTTTTTGGGGGGGGGGGAGGGAGTTATCTTGGCCAGTCTCCGAATGTCAGGGATTTTTCCGCTTATCAGACAACCATTGAATACTTTAGACAAAGGGACTAAAAGAGTGTCCACGGGTGATAGTTCGGTTGGATCAGATTAAGATGGGAACAGAAAAGACGGTGTAGATCCGCGGCATATCTTCAGGATGAGGGGTAGAATACCGTACGGACCAAGGGGTTTACGAAAGAATCGGTGTGCGAACGTTTGTTTTCGAATATTCCCAGTTATGCTCTGATATGTCATATAGTGATAAATGCTTTCAAATAACAGGCAATGACTCAATTTTAGG